ACATGTACGTCAAAACCGCAACAATGGGGCAAAGGAGGAAAAAGAGAAGTTAACTGTTCACCGGTAATGACTACAAGTATTGTAAAACCAAGGCATGCATCTGATGGGCCAGGTAAAAGGAAAAGGGGGATACACAGTCAATTCTATGATCCTAGACCGGTGAAGTCAAGAAAAATTGACCCTGACTCCATAGTTAAATTAAAGGAAAATCTTCAAGAGATCAATCCAAAACTTCCATTTGCTTTGATGATGCCAGAAGACAGAAATATTCCTACTGTAAACACCTTGATTGGGCCAGTGGCAAGAGGATCAGTGCTCTACAAACAGCTTCAAGGATTTCAAATGGGTAGCACAAACCCTGTCACCTCCTGTGATCCAATTTCTTACCAGTCACCCAATCCAGCAATGAATGGAAGTGGTAATGAAAGTGGGCATGTTCCTACCCAAACAAATTCAAATGCTACTGATAGTCATTTTACCAACCACTCAGAAAATTCTACTGACAGTCAGCTCAGGCATACACCCATTGAACCCGAGTGTCTCAACAACAGTTCCTCCAGCCACGGTTTTACTAATTTTCCTCTCCTACCCAACAAATGTTGCGAGGAAACTGTTGACTTGAATATATTTTCTAATGCTCCAACCATCTCGAATAAGGTTCAAGTATCCCTTCAAGCAGTACAGGAGCTTTACGCCAAGACAACTGGTCAAGCAAATAACAATGTATGGTATGAAGAGAGAAAACACCGCATCACAGCGTCAAAGTTTGGCNATGAAAGTGGGCATGTTCCTACCCAAACAAATTCAAATGTTACTGATGGTCATTTTACCAACCACTCAGAAAATTCTACTGACAGTCAGCTCAGGCATAGACGCATTGAACCCGACTGTCTCAACAACAGTTCCCCCAGCCAAGGTTTTACTAATTTTCCTCTACCACCCAACAGATTTTGTGAGGAAACTGTTGAATTGAATCTATTTTCTAATGCTCCAAACATCTTGAATAAGGTTCAAGTATCCCTTCAAGCAGCACAGGAGCTTTACGCCAAGACAACTGGTCAAGCAAATAACAATGTATGGTATGAAGAGAGAAAACACCGCATCACAGCGTCAAAGTTTGGCAAAATTTTGAAAAGAAAGAGTCAGCCAACACCTGAATTTATCTGAGCAATCTGTGATCCAGTTGATATCAGCAACTTGCCCTTTGTTAAATATGGCAGAGAAAATGACGACAAAGTTGCAGATACGTATGTCAAAAAAAAAAAATGCATGAGGAAGGGAACACTGGACTGAGAGTGGCAGAAGTTGGTTTATGTTTCAACCCATCCCTACCTCATTTAGGGGTATCTCTAGATCATGTTGTTTTTGATCCAATGTCAAATGATAAGTTTGGAGGAGTGGAGATAAAAACTAACCCAAAGGCAGGATCTGTGGGTCTCTCAATAGCTCAAACTGTTGGCCACCCATTGTTTACAGCAAACCAGTTTTTGGTTTCAAAAGATGGGAAAATTATTCTGAACACGGAGCATTCATACTATTATCAACTTCAGGGTCAGTTGGGCCTTTCTGTGCTCTCATGGATTGACTTTGTGACACATTCAGGCATAGGAGACATATTCAAACGACGAGTGTTTCCTGTAAAAGACATGTGGTCCAAAACTATGGTTCCTAAATTAAACTCGTTTTATTTCAACCATGCTCTTGATTTTTTCTTGTTAAATGAACCTGAACCTTATTAACATTGAAGAAATGTTCTTGTACAAAAGATGTCGGCCACGTGAACTGACTTCAAGTAAACACAGTAACTTTTAAAATGTCAAAATTAGACTGAAAGAATAGGGTTTTGAAAATTCACAATTAATGATGGAACAGTCCACAACTGATTAATGCAGCTATGCATAGACAATGGTATTACTTGATCAAATATGTGCCATGCCTTCAACCGTTTGATCGATCTTTCCACGTGGATCCTCACATTAGCAATGTTCATAGTCTCAAAGAATGAATCCTTTGTGAATTGATCTCTGAGTAATTAATTAGATTGATTAATCTCTGTGCAGTCAAAAATCCCTCGGATATCTTGATACTGGCCTTTAAATCCCTCAGGCAGATACTGCTTGATCTTATCCTTGGAAACCCATATTGGCAGGCTTCCCAGCATGATGTACAGATAGTTTACCCATGTCACTAAAATATCACATACTGTAGCTACAGAAACGCTTTCAAATAATCCTAATCTAATTCTGGTCAAAAACATCCATAGTTGATCTATTGGATCAATATTACGGCTCCTTTCCCTCTCTTTGTCTACTTCATGTAGATATGGAAATGTAGCAGTAAAGTTCTCTTCGCTTTTGCTTCGAGCAAAATTTCAACTAATTGAAGACTGTGCACAGGGTTTAACATACTCCCAGAATGCCATTAGAGTATTGTAATTTGGAAAACCCGTATAAAAGAAAATATCATCATCACTATTCTTAAATCTTTCTATACAAAACTTGGAAAGTAATAGTTGACGTTTTAAATCTGCAACGACCTCTGCCAAATCTTCATTATGATGCTCGTTTTCAATTTTTACTTTGCTGGTTTCCAGTGGACGACCTTTATTCTCTGAACATACAACCGAGTATGTGATTGTCGATTTCGCCTCTCTGCTTTCGCATCGCTTTGTCCTTTCGATCTCACGACTTGACGCTTTGGTCCACTGAAACCGTGAAGGAGTAGCAGTTGGCAAAAGATCTTTCCTTTTCCCAGTTAAACTGCGCTTCTAGTCTGTAGAAACAAAATGTTCGGAGCAGCAAAACAGAGACGTGTTCGATTTAAACTTGCTGTCAGATCGTTTCATTTTCAATGCCCATTCCATCCTTTGTTGAGAATCTTTCAGAAATGCCTGGAACGTGAGGTCGTTTCTGTTATCCGACCTATTGGTACATAGTGCTGCGGCACAACATTCATGCGAGGTCTTTTGTGCAGCACTATTTGATCTTGTACTTTCTGACATAGCATCCGCCATAATTACTCTCGCCAACTGGAGGGCCCTTAGGCCTCGCTTTCATGTAACTTCCGGCTTATGGCGTAAGATTGCATGTCACCCATTTTTCGTATTGCTCACAAGTACTTACCCCATCCTACACGCTTGCTGCAAGCCTAATTAATTGATATTAATTAATTAAACAAACATTAAAGTTTACACCTTATTGCCGTGATGATTTAGCACATGTCAACCCCCAAACCATCCCAATAATGCACTCTACACTAAACTAGTGAGACAATCTCAGATAGTGCACAGTATAATTTACGGCTCTTATACAGTAGTCACATAGGTCTTCACCCATGCCGTTCTCTCCCTCGGTAGTCAACTAATATGAGCGGAATATGAGCGGACAAAAACTTGATAAGACATAATCTTAGCAGTGTGTATGTTTCATGTTTGTGTTTTCTTTCAAGGCCCCAAAATGGCTTACGATTACCGTTTGTCAAGACGGCTTTAAAGTCACCGCAGCAAACGTGACAATTGTACTTTTCACGCCGTTTGTAACTTGATAGTTTTGTTTTCCTCGCCAATGTGTGCAACAAGGTACCTTTGTTTCCACGAAAATATAAGAAAGTTGTGTGTTTTTTTACTCACTGCTGGAGATAAATGGAAAATAAAAAAGAAATATCTGCTGAAAACTCGAAGAGAAACGATTTTGTTTTATTCAAAACGCAAAATTTCATTTCACGGATAAACAAAAACTAATCTAATTATCAACAGTCCGGAATATCCCGATAAATTAGGACATCTGTGATGTCACGAAACTCACGTTTCAACCAATGAGAATGCGTGTTTTGATTGGAATGTTGTGTTTCACAACAAAGAGATTCAAGATGGCGGACAAAGCGAGTCGGGAATACTTTCCAATGCCATGAATGCGGGCCTTCGGGAGGTATATATTTATCTCGAATTGAGTTAAATAGTGTCCAAATTATAAAATAAAAGGAAAGTTTGTGTTCGCGTTCCATGTCACAGACAATTCTGCCCAGATAACGAGTATCCTCGGACCGAAGGAAGCACCACAGAACGCAATGTGGGCAACGTTTGACGAGCTGCTGTTATCATTCTTTGGAAAGAGACCGTACAATCGGTAAGCATCTTTACTCTGCATTTTTCTAAGCACAGAAATGATCGATATG